GACCTCAAAGTAAGGGGGGGTTTTGTTTTACAGATAACAGCTGATTAACAATCAATCTAGATGCTATAAGGTGGTGAACAGTTTACCAGTGAGATTAAATACTCTCAGCATTGACCATACACATCTAGTTCAGGGAGATCACCCTAATGGATCCCTTCCTTCACCCCTCAGATTTTAGTGCTAACGGTGTTCTGTTATGTTTTTCCTCCCTCAAGTCAACAGCCTAAAGACCTGAAGATCAAGATTCAAATGGCTCTTCATCAGGTTGTCCTCCACACTCTCAGCCCTGCAGGATCGCGTTGGTGCGACCGGTTGCTCTTAAAGACTGTGAGAAGATGGCACCCATTTTCCAAGAGGAAAAGCTGGTGGTTTGTATGTCCTGTCAAGCATCCTGCCCACCTGTGAAGCCTTCATGAAAGAAATGGACTTGGCTGTGAATCACTGTTCCTGATCCAGCAGAAGTCTTTCGCTGTTATAAAATACCAGCACATCGAAGAAGTCCCAGTTTGAGGAGCACTGACTGTTTTTTTTTTTTTATTTGTTTTTTTTTTTTTTTTTTTTGCGATGCGTTCTTCAACAAGATTAAATTCAAATTCAAGAAGTTGGATGAGGTTCTGCTTTAATCAGGGTCAGGTAAAAGTTCCTGCCAGCGTCTAGAATCCTGCACGTCTCTGTGCTGTTGGACTGCAGTGACGATGCTTTTATAAATCCATCTGGACCTTTTAGCAGCTGTTGCTGCACAGAAAACACCACTAAGGAGGATCTGCATCTAAGGATAACTTCACAGGACCATCAGGGAGAAGCAAGTGGTTTGTATGCTACACTGTATCTGCAGAGCTGGTAAGAAAGAGACTCTGGAACGAGATGGGTGGCGGCACAGCTGAGGCATCTTCGCTGCTTGGTGCCGTTCTGCTTCCTTCCGTCTCGGACAACAGTATTGGCTTTCTATCACTGAGTGGCAGAAGAATTTTAAGTATTCATAGGTAGATCTGTTCAAAGAAAAGCTAAAAATTTAGCTATACCTGCAAAAGAACTAACAGTGGATCTGCTAAGATTTACTTTTTTCACAGCCCATTTATACTGCAGTGTCTGGAAGTAATTCCCAAGATAAATTTTATATGGAGGTAGACGGTCAATTAAAAAGGGATTCAGGAAACGGAGTGTAGGTCGTTGTAACTGCCAACTCGATGCTTCTTTGAAATTTGTAAGATAAATTAGTTGAATTATTTTTGATTATCTATTTACAGTTTATATTTAAACTGAAAATAGAATATCTGTCTAATTGGACTTATTTCACATTGCCATGGATCGTTCATCAAGATCTGGAAAGTTTTTCTACAGCCAGAAGACAGCAATTCAGTCATTTTGTATGTTAAAGCTGTAAATGTAGTAAATGGCTCCCAAAGCCATAACAGATGTTTAATTGCTGCTTGTCCCATTATTCAGATGATGATATTTACCTGTTGTTGGAATTTTAACAGCAGGTTGATATAGTTCTCCTCAGGGGGAAATCTTCAGCTCAGTAGTATTGAGTATTAAATGATCAGGGCAGATGTTGACCTCAGTGTATTCCACTTGTACTCAATCACAGCAGGATTGGTGGCAGGCTTGTTGTGCAAGCTGCTTACCTAACAGCAATGTTGTAAAAGTGTATCATATTTGGATTTTTTTTTTTTTTTTTTTTTGCTTTCATTTTAATTGTGCAAACCTTTTAACTCCTGGGTAAGTTAAAGATTTCCTTTATTTTCATAAGATTTATGCAAAACGATTTCAGATGTGGATGATTTGGCTGCATGTTACAGCTTTTGCAATAGAGAAATGGAAGCACAGCCTGAAAACGTTTTTTCTAAGATTGTTTTCATCATTTTGCTGTGGGATGTCAGGCTAGTACTCCATAATGTGTAAGGAAACAGTAGCTTTGGCGTGTTTCCAGCATGTTTAAGTCGTCTCAACAAACGATAAATGGAGAGATCGTTCTCATTAGAAATACAAGTCTAAGAACTATAGATATTTTGACCATGATTTAAACTTGTCTTTTCTTTCCCCCTTCATTCATCCTATCCTCTTCCTCCCTCCCTCCCCTCCACCCCCCCAAACCTCCTTCCCACACACCACCACGCCTCTCGTTCTTCAGCTCGTAGCACTGCTGCATTGCAGGAGCAACATGGAGTGAATAAGCGGGTGAACATCCTCCAGAAGGCTGCCTGAGAGTGAAGTGAGAAGTCCTGCTTTGACCGGCTCACACTGCAGCCATACAGCTGGTTAAATAACACTGGAGCCTCTCACAATGAAATGTATAAACATGTCCTGCTGCTAATCCAAATATTTAAGATGTTTAAGTTTTAATAGCTAGTCTGTTAATCATCCTATGTTGATTTCTGTTTGTCCAGGTGCATTTGCTCTGTTTTCCTAATCTGTACAGTTGTTGGTTTATTATATATATTTTCCTTTCCCCTCTTTATGTACTAGCATTTAAAGACATACTTTTATGTAAGATTTCTCCCTCATCAAAAGTGTGTCTGGACATGCAGAATTTCTTTTCAAATATTAGGTTTTTAAAGTCTTGTTAAGGTTTGTGAAATGTGCTCATAGGGTAAGAATTGACTCATCTAAATTATCTTTGTTGTAAAGTTTCTACACAGGTTTAAATTTTGAACATCTGAGGCTAAATTTAAATATAATTCACCCCAGTTGACTAACTGAATTTTTTTTTCTCCAGTTCATGTTTTGTTTCACTTATTTTGTTGCTCCTCTGTTACTGTTCAAGTCTCTGAATCTCCTTTCTTGATCATTGACACAGTCCTCTCCTCCCCCTTTATTTTTTATTTATTTCCAGTTTGTCTAAGATTTTTTTTTTGGCTTACCTTTCACTTCTCAATCCCCCGCATGTCCTCTCCTTACTGAACATCTAACCAGGATTTCTCTCTTCATTCCTATCCTTTCTGTCAAATTATTTAATGAGCATTTGCTGTGTGCAACTTATCACCCTGACTAGTAAGTATTGTATTACATCTGCAGTGCTTTTATAGTTTATGTTGCAGTGCACTAACAAGCTGAAGGTTTATCCGCAAAGCCCTTCTCCCTATTTTTCCCACTTCTACACAGATCTGAGAACGTTGCCATGATGTGTATATTATGTAAATACTTTTCAAAAATAAAAATTAAATGACAAACGGCATGTTTTGTTTTTGTTTTTTTCTTAGTGGATTAATTCAGTTAGACCAGGGCTGCTGGGTGATTTACCTGTTAATGGTTTTAAAGACCTGAGAGAATAAGAACATGTATTTTCTTTACATTGGTCCAAACAATTTGAGGAAATCAATGTTTATTGTTACAAGATTAAAGAAAAACATTTGAGAAAAGTAACAGCTTAAGAACGTAGAAAGTGAAAAAGCATGCTATTAGTTTTAGTTGATCGCTGATTTAAAGCCTTCAGTACAATGTCCCAACGGACATGATTTAGTGTTAGAAATGTAGCAGTTGCAAATGGAGTGTAAGACCTAAAATCAGCCAAGCCTAAAGCTTATACCTCTGTGTAATAGTGACTTAAATCTAAAATATGCATTTTCTACAATCTGTATCAACCATTTTAGAACCTTTAAAATCATTTTTAAAGTGGTTCATGATCTAAATTAAAAATATGTAAAAGGGAAAAAGGAAAGTTAATGGAAAGTCAGCAAAGTGGAAAATTCAAATGTAAAAAGAAAAAGATCTCATAGCTTAGGGGGGAAAAAGCAGGTGTTTTAATGTTCTATTTGGAGAAAGAAGAGAATACCTAATGAACAAAGTAAAGCGGGAATTGGAGAAACTTTGAAATAAAGAAAAAATAAGTAAACAAAAAGTTTGTTTCTGCAAAATGTGACCTAATCTAAGAAACACAAAGCTTCATTAGAATATAATTCCTATATCTATACACTGTATAACTGTATATTTATGATTTAAACGAGTTCAGTTTTCTCCTAAACAGTGTGTGTCACAATTAAATGGAAAATACTACCTACAATTTTTGAATTAGGGTTCCTTTTTCAGGGACAATAGGTGTCTAAATCCAACTTCACCCAGAGAAAATATAATTATCCCATATATTAAAACAGATTAAACACCGACCAAATCAAGAAATCCCTCCAATAAAACATTTCCTACAGAATGAAATAAGTAAACTAAATTCAATCACAGCAAAACTCTTAATAGTCTGGAAAGGGTCACAAAATCATTTTAGAGAATCATATTGTGCGATGAATGGACAAAACATGAAACTAGTTAACCATGCCAGATTTGGCAAACCTACCAAGACTACATTAGCGCCATCAAGGATACATTTAATTAACCTAGAATTACATTTGTAGCCATGCAAGTATCTTTCTCTCATTGGTTAATGTCCATTTTTATGTTTCTACAGGACAACATTTAAGAAAACCAAGGAGAAAATCACTGCTGAAGAAAATTAACACAAAGGTTTTCAGATTAACCAAAAACAAAACTCGACTTACTTTTTTTAATTTTGTTTATTCAGCAGGACAACAATCTAAAGAAAAATACCTCAGACTAACAAGAAACAAAAAATAAAATAAAGGTTGTTACGTGTTGTAATCAAAGTTTTCACTTTATCTGATGGAAATTCTTTGTAATGATGTTGAAAAATGAAAATATGCAATATAAGGTGAGAAAACTTCCTCAATTTAATGTAAAAGACTAAGAAAAGTGCTTAAAGACAGTTGAGTCCAATCAGAGCACAACAATATATTAGGATTAGGGAGTAATTACCCTTTACTACTTAATAAGTAAAATCAATTAAAACCTTTGTTTGCATTTGGTCAGGCTATGTTTAATATTAAAATGTTTTTAATAATCGAAAACAACATTTAACTGTGGAAAAACTGCTGAAATCTGCGAGATTGGAAAATTTTTTCAAGATCCTGATCTTTTTTTATTTCAATAAAACAGAAACAAAGTGAGTGATGAGAGAAAAACAATCTAAAAAACTAAGAAAAAACAGAAAGAAAAGGAGAGGAAAGTCAGATTTATTCAGAGGTAAACATCAAACAGAAAAAAAAGAGTGCGACAGAAACAAAGAAAGGCAGGAAAAGACTTCAAGAGTGCTAAGAGTTGAAGAAGGAGGAGCATAAAGGAAATAAAACAGTAAGAGCTGCAGAAAAGGATGAGAAAATTCACCAAAAAAAACCAAACATTTCCACTAAAGCCAGAGAGGTTAATGTAAAACAAACTAGGGGGGAAAAAACAGCAAACAGCCGCGTTAATTTCAATACAAGAAGAGAAAGGTCATTAAACAAAAAAGGAAAGAAAATTTCAAATACTACAACCCAACAGCTATTTGAACATCTAAAAATGTAAGAGAGGTAGATGGTTAGGGTGGGAAGAAGCTTGATTCCAGCTCCATCCTAGATGCAGCCATGTCTCTGTCCACTCAGTTACTGAACATGTTCCCACGCTCACACACTCACACTCAAAAACAGGGAACCATCAATAAGTCACCTTAGGTTCTACAACATTTGACCCCTGAAATTTGTGGCTTTTAAAACACAAAACTAGTCTCACAGCATCTCTGTAGAATCAGATCACTAAAACAAACTCAGATAAAGGCTTAAAAAGTTACATTAGATTCTGTTCTTCAGCAGATTAAAGGATCCTAAAGGATCCAGAGTCACACTCTGGTTAGTCTCAGTAGAGGATAACAGGCACAGTTTTCTTCCACAGTTCCAGGCTTTAAGATATCATGACTTATCCTCATCCCAGAGTTCATGTCAGCTGTAAAGTTTTGCTCAGTACGGAGTAAAGCGGTTGTATCCTCCTCGGTACAAGCTGGCCTGTTAACAGAAGCGTTGATACCAGGTGTAAAGCAGAGCGACAACATGAAGTAGATGCTGTGCACCTATCAACAAAGCTCACCATTGTCCCAACCCCATATGTTGTCGTTGGTCCAACCGAGTGGTGATAAGGGTCGGCTGCAGCGGCGTAAACTCGTCCGTATCTGGTCAAAATATATTAAAAAGTAGGTTGTTTGTGATGGATAACCATGAGTGAAATCAGTCTTCTTGCAGAATACTTCTCAAACTTCTCAGTTCCTGACATGAAATATTTGCAGCTTGTAATTTTGATCTGTTCTTCGATATCAAGATTGTGAAGGTGGCATTTTATCACATCAATTGTTTTTACAATATACAATACAATAAAATGGATCAAACTTTCACAGGAGAAACCAATGTGTTTCTATTTCCAGACTATTTCTATCAAGGATGGGGGAAATGTTGGTGTACCTCAGGAGTATGGCAAGCCTTTTTAAAATAAATTCGGTTTCATCTGACCGTCCACAATTATGTTACAGATATCTTAAAATACATTTTGACTAGACAAAACCACAATTTGACTATCCGGAATGGTAATTTAAGATATCTGTATTTACATTCTGATTAGGAATAATAATAATTCAAGATATCTTCAATTACATTTTGCCTAGTCAAAATTTCTTTCAAGATATCTCAAATTACAACAAAGGATTTGTCATTTAAAGCGTCACATGCTGATTTAACTTTTTCTCCTTCGGATTAAACTGACAATAGGGAATTTTTTAGGAATTATCCTCCTTGAAGTCCATTAAAAAGATCATTTTGACTAGTCAGAATGTCAATTTAAGATATCTTTAATGGAAAAAGCTTAATAATTCAAGATATCTATAATTCATTTAGAGATATCTTAATAGGAATTTCGAATAGTCGTAATTACAATTCAAGATATTTTAAATTTTTTTTGTCTAGTCATTATTTGCTTTTAAGATATCTATAATTGAGTTTTCACTAGTAATAGTCATAGGCATATCTCCTATCCTAAAATAAATTGAAGATATCATGAATTATGGTGGCATTTGAGATATCTTGAATTAGAATTATGACTAGCGAAAACTAAAATCGAGATATCTTGAAATTACTTTATGACTAGTCATAATTTAATTGTGGATATCTGAAATTTATATTTCAGATAATCAGTAATTCATTCTAGATATCTTAAATTGACGTCGCCATACAAGTTAATGGTAAATCTGACGTAATTTCAACTAGTCAGAGTGTAATTGGAGATATCCTAAATCGCTAAAACGTCTAGTCATAAAACAATTTCAGATATCTTGAATGTAAAGGCGGTACAACCGAATTTATGTTAAAACGGGTTACCATACAGGGTGCTACATTTGGCTCTTGGTCTTTTAGCAGGTATATTAATTACTTTTATATATATATATATATATATATATATATATATATATATATATATATATATATATATATATATATATATATATATATATATATATTGGTCAGTTGTCTGCTAACAGCAAGGTTGCAACTTCATTTATTTTACCACAGTTTTTTTTATTTATTATTTCATTCCAAAATATAACTGTTACATCTCAATCCGATTCATATTTGAAAATATTTAAACTACATTTAAAAGTGCATGATTATTTATAGATAAACAGATAAGAAAAACAAAAAAGATAAATATATAATCAAAACAGGACTTTTCCTTAAGTCCCAAGCTCAGAAAAAAATAAAACATTTAATAGAAGTATAACCTTATAATGATCATAGCTACAGTATTTTGATAATGAGAGAAGACAGAATTAACAGATGTCTTCACTTATAATATTTTTGTATTGCACATTCCTGCCCCCTACAGACAAATAAAACCTGTGTTTTATTGAGAAGTGGGAAAACTTTGTCTTTCCCGTGTAAAAACGTCTTGAAATAATTTTGAGTTTCTGTTTTTAGGCTGCTTTTTTTTTTTAAGAGAAGTCTCTAAGGCAACAGAACAATTGCAAACATGTGCTTTAAAGGCCCACAGTAATTTTCTCAAGAACATTTGCTTGTTTTCAGATAAAATATTCAGGAAGTTTAAACATCTGATACTGATGATAAAGTCATGGTTCTGACATTTAGTTTGGATTTATGAACAGTTTCTTAATGTCTTTTCATTTGGTTCCAGTCAGGAAATCAATAAAATGATTTAGAAGGAAGTGAGCTGGAGTTTCTTTTTTATATAACCACACATCAATGGAGTTATTAGATACGACTTTATTACAGGTCACCTACCCATCACTGTAGGCTGCAGTGGCAGCAGATGCAGACTGAGCCACTCTGTATGCTGTAGGATAGCCACCCTGCAATAAAGACACATTCATTCAGTAACTAAACAAGTATATGTGCCTTAGAAATGAGCAGTTTCTTACGTAAACTTCGGCACCATACAGTCCATCCTGATATACAACCCTGCCAAAAAACAAAACAAAAACAAAAGCACATTAAAATAAATGTGAACAAAAGCTAGAAAACTCTTAAACTTGAGGGATACTTGATTGTTCACTTGATTGTACCCTTTAAATTGAAAACAGATTGATAAAATTGTGAAGCATTTGTTTTAAACTTTGCTGACTCATAAGCAGTTCTTATTTATAATTCTTTATAATTTTTCTAGCATTTAGTCGGTCATACATGAAAGATTTTTCATGAGTTTATAAGACAAGATGCATTAAAAAAAAACAGTTTAAATCTGCATATTTCACTGTTTTCATCCTATGGAAACTAGTGACATTTTCTTAGAAGTGTCCAGGCAGGGAGAGGCTGCAGGAAACAAAAAGGCCCCGAAACCATTTCAGGGTCATTTTATACTGAATACAATAAACCACCAGGAAAATGAACATCTATATTTACCAAATAAATCTCTAAAGACAGACCAACTTCCTGAGGGCCTTGCAAATAAAGTTAAGCACACATATTTAAAATGGGTGAGGCACTTGTTCTTTATCTTTAATTATTGAAAGGCTCCTAAATGACTGCAGAGACAACCTAACTGATAAAAGCCTGAATCCTCTATTGTTCCTCTAAAATTGTAGTATAATGTTTTGAATGATTAATTGTTGTTTTTATGTATTCAGTTATTGGTTAATATAGTAACTTTAAAATGTCAAAGTAAGACCTTATATGATGGTACCACTGCTGCCAGCAGCTGCTTTAGAAGAGAAATGCTCATTCCACAAACAAATAATCTAGCAAACTAAATAATCTTTAAGATAAAAATTTAAGATGGACAAAGGGAACTGTAGTTTTTGTGAAAAAAAATGTAAGAACTTTGATCATCTTTTCTTTTCTTACATGATATTTTGGGGGTTTTGGTCTGACCTTCAGATGTGGATCAAATCAAAGTGATTCGACTGGTTGCTTTCACTTCCAAAGAAATCCAATTCGGGATAAGATTAAGATCAGCAGTACTGAATGTGGATTTAACAATCTAACTATTCTGGGTACATTTTATTAACATAAATGTAATTTCTTTGATGCAGGCCCAATATGACCCACTGGAAAAATCAACTGAAGTCGAATGGATAATCTGTAAGTTAAAAAAGAAAAACTGCTGACAAATTTATTTATTTTCTGATTTCTGATAAAGTTTATTAACGCCCTCATTACTTTTCTTATATGGCGTTTTACATAACACTGGCTCTGAATATATATATATATATATATATATATATATATATATATATATATATATATATATATATATATATGTATATATACACACATAGATATTATCTGTGTAATATCATCCTATCTCAGACTAAAACCAAACTTTACAACAACAGTAGCCAAATCATGACAGTAAAGCTAATTATATATATATTTATAATTATATACCGGTATATAATAAAACTTTATATTATATATGGTAAACTTTTAGTTTTATTATAATGCTATGATTTCATGTCATAATAGTGTAAGATTTTAGCCTCATAGTTAGGTTAAGTTCTGAGTGAGGTGAGTGGTTTTCAGTATTTCATTAATTAGGCTGTTTTTCTCAGTGTTAAGCCTTTAACATAGTAAAGGGTTTGTCAGCTGTAAGTGCTGATCTGTCAGCGGTTTTTCAGTCACAGTGTTTGTACCTCCAAAGTAACCCTGGTTTTCTAGGTGGACCCAGGATCTTACCCGGGGTAGGCTGGCACAGCAGTAGGAGTGCCAGCTGCTGAGCGAATCGTATTGTAGACGGCCCGACCCCGACCTCTCAGCGCCGATCCCCTGTAGGCCAAAGTAGGGGTCGCAACAGGGTACGGAAAACTGGCAACTAGAAACATGGAAATGGAGAGAAACAAACTTTCTTAAAAGTGCAACAATAATAAAAAAATAATATATATATATACTGTATATATATGTGTGTGTGTGTGTGTGTGTGTGTGTGTGTGTAACATCAACCCACCTGTATAAAGCTCGGGGGCATACATTGCCCCCATTACAGGGTTGATCTTCCAACCAGATGCTGAGAAGAAATAAAAAAATGAATATCATCACATTTAAATTCCAAAGAGAAACCTCAAATATTCTGTAAGAGATAATCCTTGAATATTCTGTAGGAGATAATCACTTCCCAAGATTAAAGATTTTCACTCATTTTCTACTAATCAACAAAGTTTCCTCATCAACCCTTAGGCCTATAAATGTCTCTTTTTCCAAGTGGCCTAGGGTTTCCATTTCATCGGAGGCTTTGAAATTTAGAAAGCTTAATCTTAATACCTATCAGAATCATTCCTATATGAATGATATCCCATTTTGCAGGTTTATAAATATAAAAAACACAGTAAAAGAATCTACATTTGATTAAAACATTAAGTATTGATTATAATCAAAATCAGTCTCCAGTAGAAACCATTTTATACTCAATGTTGGGGATTGTTTAGACATTTAAAAAGGTAAATATGAAAATATCCTCAGTCATTAGATGACAAAACCATACTATCGGCATTAGATTATTGACACGTTGCAGCTTAGAGAGGTCTCTCGGGGATCTATTTGTTACTGACAGTCTAAACATGAACTTAATCCAATGTTTCACAAATTTCTCTTTTTAGTTTAATTAGTAATTTGAATGTCCATTATCTAATGATGAATTTGCCCTTGGTCACTAGTTTGTTGAGTAGAATTAGTGCTGTCCATCCTTGCTGGCTAAGCTTTATATTTGATTGTGATGTTTGTTTGCATTATTGCTTTTTTGAGGGGATATTAGGTTGATTTATAACATGAGAAGTTCTTGTTGATTCTTTCAATGACTCTCCCCCCAAAAAGTATGGTATGCCCTAAAAAATAATCCTGATGGCTTATGAGATTATATATTTATGAGTTTTAGCTACAAGATCACTGAAATTGGGCTAGATTGATAATTCTTACCTGAAAGTTCTCCGTTCATTAGAGGTGTCTGAGGCTTTTTAGTAACCACTCTTGCAGTGGCATTATTGACCTGAGAACAAAGAAGAGAGCAGTGAGCTCATTAAGAGCAGACTCTCCGGCATGTTAGTATGGAAATCTGCAAATAGGAACAAATCATTCTTCACCTCAATTTTCCTCCCTTCTACAATCGTCCCATTTAGCTTTTCTCTTGCTCGGTCTGCCTCTGCAGCGCTCTCAAAAGTCACAAATCCAAACCCCTGAACAACATCAGACTTTATTCACACTTATTTCCATTTCAACTTCTCCTCCGATAAACAAGCTTGTCTTGCTGCTCACCTTTGACCCCCGTTCATTGAAGATGATTTCTACATCAAGTATTTTGCCAAATTGCTGCCAAATACATCATAAAGTGAACAAAAAAAATAATAATGGGGAAGTATTGATAAGGAAGGGTGAAGGTCATACCCCAAACATCTGGCGGAGGTCTGGGTCTCTGAAGCGGAAAGGGATGTTGGAGACATGGAGGCGTTTTGGTTGGGCCTTCCCAGAGCTTTCCTCCTCTGTCCCGGTTCCCGCCCCCGATGGCACGGACACATTGAGAGACTGGGGGTCGGACGTCACTGTGGCCAAAGCATCCTCCTGACATAGAGGAAGCAAAGCAGAAAGGACGAGACGAAAGAGGACGTGGTGGCACAGACAGAAACAGGAAAGTAGGAAACAAAAGATGGAGAGGGCGTGAGATGAGATGAGATGGAAGAAAAGAGACAGCGGCATTATTGGGAAAAGCAAATTAAGGGTTTCTCACAATAAGATCAGCAAGAATCTTCAGAGGAAATTTGTGTTTCTCAGCATCGCATGACATTCAGCAAAAAGGTCATTTTCATCAGCTCAAGTGATCCAAACCATGTTCAGCGAGCATTCAGCAACCAGTGATCCCTCTCAAGCAGAAGTTTACTCCGTTTTAGTAAAGTGTCTGGAATACATGCCTGCAGGAGGTCAACCAACGCTCCAACAACGGAGATTATGGCAATAAAAATAAACTTTAATTAGTGTTAATGAAAGTATAAATCTGTGCAAGCATTTATTTTATTTCTATATAAGCAATAAAAACTATTTTTTATCTTGAAGACAACTTCCTTTGTTAATCTGTTCAGACTTGTAATAGATTATGACAGAAAAAGCAACGCAAACATCTGCTGGATATTTCTCTTTAAAAAAGAAAAGCAAAGGTTTCTCTAAACACTAATGCAGTATTTCTTGTAACTCACAAAACCATTTTCAGTTACGAACTTTAAAAGAAATATGACAGCTATTCTTTTTTTTCCATAAAGAGCCATGATCTAGACATGCAAACAAATAAGTACAGCCCATATCTTAGAAACTGCAGGTACTTCTGGGGTCAACTTTGATTTTTTTAAGCAGTATTCATGCAGTTAGAAAAATCCAGATTCACTTTTTTTTCATTTTTAACTTAGCGCTCCTACCTTGATGTGCATGTGTTTTTTTTTGTTTGTTTTTTTACTATGCAGTGGTTATTCCAGTTTACAGTGCTTTAAAAAGTAATTTTGTCAAGTTACAAACACAAACTTTAATCTGTATACATGCAGTGTTTTTTTTTCCATCTTTCTATGCAATTGCAGCTACAAAGCTTCAGTACTTATGCCCTTCTTTTTTATTAAAACAACTAAAGCTCAAGCAGAATGGAGAGATTTTAGTTTTAAAGGCCTGAACAAAGATATTCTGGAGGCTTTTGTACTGGACTTTATAATATAATGTGGATAATAAATATATTTTAATTCAAATACAGCTACAACTTCATATCTAGAGTTATTCTCCTCCTGGAAGGTGAACCCTTTAATTTAGTCTCAACTCTTTTGCAGCCTCTAACATGTTATCTGAAGTTAGAACCCCTCTTACAATAAAAACATTGGCTTTCTACTCGCACTCTTTTATAAAGTTCCTAATTGTAAAATGCTTGGCTAATAGTTATCCTACCTGCAAATTCACGCTTCAAGTTATTTGATATCATTACAGACCTCATGGAGGCTATTTTGATTTATACTCTTCCAAAAGCTATTAAAAAACTTCAAACTTCAAAGAATATGGATTTATACTTAAATTAAATCACACACATTGAGAAAATATATATGTACCTACTAATTAGGTAACTCTTTAGGACACTGATCACGTTCGATCTTATTTAGGAGAAATAAAACAGGTGAGCGAACGTTTTGCTTTCCATCAGCTTGAGTCAGGATGTCACAAAAATATGTTAAAATCTGTGGTCGTAGCGTGACAAAACACATACAAGTGCTCTGAATAATTAAGCAAGGCACTTTAATCAGTGTAATTAGGATTTTAGGTTTTCAAGTGATTTGAAGTTTCTCATCTCTGTTGCACATCCGACCTCAAATATGTTACCTGTGCATATAAACTGGCTCATGCAGAACAATTCAAAGAGTAATATGCCAAAACCCAAAACATTCATGATCTCACAATGCACCACAATGCTCAGGTGTGCACAATGATGTGCACTTGGTGCTGGCTGTGCAGGATTATTAACCCTTAAAGTGTTATAGCCACGTCAAAGAAAAGCCCAAGGAGGATCATAGGAATACAAAGGTTTAATCATAGCTGTGAAAGGATGGGCAGAGCATGATCAAGAGAAAGTAAAGGAAAGATAAAAATACAAGGAGAAATAAGAGGGAAATGCACTTTCTGGATTTGAGAATTAGGCTTGTAGTACCAAGAGGCAAGACAGGAGAGAAGAGACCTCAGTGCAGCAGGGGAAAAAAGAATTAAACCAGAGAACAAGGCAAAGATAGTGCGCAGGAAGCTTTAAAATGAGGGAGGGATCAGAACCCAGGGGTCAGTTTCAGGTCATGGTGCTGCTTTTCTGCCAAATGTTAAAAGTAAAACCTCAAGGGGCCTCATTAATAAATTGGTGCCAGGGAAATGGTTCAGGGAATACATTCATCCAGGGAGGCGTTTATTTTTTCTCTTTAGAAACACATTACAGGCTCACAGTACTGGCTTTCTGTGACTAACTACAGTGGACAGCATCACATCCACCCACAAACACACACCCACACACAGGCTGGGGGGGAAGGTGGGGGGGCTGGGTGGTGGTGTCATGTCACGATGCAGATTTGTGTTCTGGACCTGAGCGATATTTCAGAGGGGGAGGAGAGGGGGTGGGGGTTCTCATCTGGTCAGCCTTGCCCACTTTGACCCCCTCCCACCGAGGCGACGTCTCAACTTTTCCCCCGAAATTCAGCACGGACCCGAGAATGTCAGGCTCTATAGCAATAAAATATATAGACGGAGGCCACAAGAAATACCATTTATGAGCAGAAGCAGAGCAACATAAAGCTAGAACTAAACCCCTTTCATTATTAAATACTATATCTAATTAATAACAAATACATATCACTTTAATAGCAGAAAAAAAATCCAACCACTTTTTTTTTTTTGGTATTCGCTATGTTTCAAAGCAGAGTGTTAAAAGGCATCAATCATGTAATAACTTAAGTATGACTTTTTTGGAGTTTTAAAGTGGCTCTCTTGCTCTTTTCCAAGGACCTTGATGGTGTTAAAATAACGATTATACATCAGTTTGTGTTTAGTTTTGTTTACTCACAGATCCCCAAGTTAAAATAGGTAAAAACTATGACAGGTTGCCTCAAAAAATATGAAATGCCCTGTGTGGATGAAATATCGTCTCATCTCTTGTTCTATTGAGGGATCGGGCCTAAAATGATTCATAGCTGGTGGTTGAACGAATAAAAAAGCATTTCTGTAATAAAGATCAGGCATATTATAAACTAAGAAGCACACAAAGTCCAAAAATAATAAAATATCTGTTTGATAAGATTATTGGGCCAGTTGAGGATATTTTTAAGCAGGATGTTAGTAACAAATGTCTTACCTGAAGAGGATAAACCTCAATGTCTCCGTTTAGTTAAAATCTTGTTTTGTTGATCCTTAAGTTTGAGGAGATGGACCAGGAGTAAAATGGACAACAATGCAATGTTTTTCTATGAACCTTTAAACTATTGTCATATTTGCTCTTAGAAAGTTATTATAAACAGAAGGAGCTTGAGGTGGGAGGCATGTGAGAAGTACTGTGGACTGGACTTATTAAAAAACAATCCTTTGACATCTGGGATTTAAAAAAACAAGCAGGACACCGAAGGCCCGTTTCATGAAGCAGGTTTACCAAAAAAGTTGTCTAAAAATGAAAACAGGGAAACTCTGACTTCAGTCACTGAAGTAACATTCTCCTCAGAGCTAACCTGATCAGTAGCAGGTTTTCTTCAGTAAACTCAGAGTGTCCTCTGTCTCCACTCTCTTTACAGCCAATATTACAGTTTTATTTCCTGATTTAGTCAGATTTTTGTTGTTGTTTTGTGCATAAAAAATATACATATATATTTCACTGGGTTAATTACACATATTAGGTTTTAAAATCAAACATTGCATGTCAGTTTGACAAGGATCTTATAAAAGAATGATCTGCACTTTCTCACAGAGAATTAAATATTTATAGGGAGATGATTCTACAACTCAGTTGGCAGGACATGAGATGAGATTTTGGTTTGTTTAATATTATGAGAGAGATGCAAATCATTTCATTTTAATTTTGTTATATTTACCGTTCATGAAAAACTACTGAAATTATATTCAGATTACTCCTGAATAGATTCATTAATTCTACGGGGAAAAAGGAATTACTTTAGGGTTAGGATTAGGATTCACTGATGATAACTCCCTAATGAGCCTATTGGCACAATCTGAGGGCACTGATAGCCACTTATAGTGATACTAGCCACTTATAACCGCCATTTGTCTGCAAACAGCCACTTTGCTGTGTAAAAGAAGACTGAATCAACATAAGGAGGAACGCATGAGATCCTCACCTGCCAGAAGATTTCACCTACATATATACATTGATCTATTGCCATTCAATAAATAATCCAGTAATATTTTCACGGTAACAACAGCTCTGGCAAGCCGTCTTTACTGAATATGTATTCCAGATATCTGCAAAAATACTTTTTTCGTTGTCTAAATGACCATTAAAAAAAAACAAAACAACAACATTCTCCACATCTAGAATAAAAATTCTGGACATCTAGAAATTAATTTTAGATCTCCATATTTCTAATATTATAGGCCAGCATTTGTAATATTTTAACTTTGAAGAAATGTATTTCAGATATAAATACATTTTCAGTCAAGCTGATAAATGTCAGAACAGCCAAGATATATAAAACTTAACTATTGCTAGTATAATTTGTTTTACTTTTTTTTTTTACTTTCCAAAATTCAGTTTCTGCTACAAAAATTGTAATTTAGAAAATATATTATTACAGTTAGGTCATGGAGTGTAATTTTGGTCAGGAAGAATCTAATTCACATTCTCCTTTTTAATTTAATTCTTTTGCATTTCTGCATTTTAAATCTCTAGTTCCAGCGGGGCGAAATAGGCACTTCCTGTTGTCTGTTGTCATGGTGACCCTTCGAATCGATGCTCCACTGATAATGGCGTTAAATACTTGTTGCACACGTGCTTAACTCTGAGTGGACTTAGTTGAAATTAATTGAACTAATTGATAGCAGCCGTTGAGAAACCGAACACTCAGAGTTCCTGACTTTAGGCTAGGTCAATTTAGAGTTGCAGAATTGAATCTGAATTTGTTAAACCTGCTTCATGAAATGGACCCCCAGTGTTTATTTTATTTGAAAATTGTTACTTGTTGATGTATATATACTATTGCTTTTTATACATATGTTAAATAAAGTGATTTATTTGAAAGTCCAATTTATTATCGTTACAAAAAAATCTTACTGCAGAAGATATTTTAGATAAACTTCCATTTTTTATGAGATGAAGTCAAAGATCTAAAACTGTTTCCACACAACAATAAAACCATTTCCATCAAATATTGTTCACAAACTGGTCTAAATCTGTGATAGTGAGCACTTCTCCTTTGCTGAGATAATCAATCCCACCTCACAGGTGTGCCATATTAAAATGCTGATAAGACACCATGATTAGTGCACAGGTGTGCTTTAAACTGCCAATGGTGGCGGTGGGGTTATGGTTATGGGCAGAGGTCTGTTATGGACAAAGAACAAAGGTGCATTTTATTGATGCAATTTTGAATGCACAGAGATACCGTGACCAGATCCTGAGGCCCATTGTTGTGCCATACATCCAAGAACATCAGCTCGTTTTGCAGCAGGATAATGCACGGTCACATGTTGCAAGGATCTGTACACAGTTCTTGGAAGCCCAGGGGCCTGTTTCAGAAAGGAGGTTAAGTGAAAACTCTGAGTTTGTTAACGCTGAAATGAGGGAAACTCTGGGTTTTCTGTTTCAGAAAGGGAGGTAAGTTAAACCTGAGAAAGCAGAGTAAGTCAAGCCCGTTTCTGAAAGAGAGGTAACTTATACTCGGAGTCAGTTACCATGGCAATTTACTCTGTGAACCTAACCTGGTCGGGAGCAGGTTTTCTTCAGAAAATCCAGAGTTTATTTTGGTTTCCTCCCCTTTTTTAAAGAGGAAGTGGTGTTTAAACACCTCATTGATTCTTTGGGGACATATTCATTGCACACATTTCAGTCACGTAGAGCGCATCAAAGGGAATGAAATGGCATGTCCTTTTATGGATGATCCTGTTTGTAAAGCCAGGTAGCTACTCTACTCCCATGATGTGCTCAAGGCTTACCTGCTTGAAGTATGTTTTTATATTTCATTTTCAGCTGCTACCATGTTCTTTTGATGCCTGCAGGATTGCACCTATCCATGAAAACTAAATTAGGTTTAATAAAATACTGTTCTTCCAGTTTCACCTCTGATATTATAACAGTTGGGTAAGTTACTCTAAAATAGTTCTTAATTACTAACTACAAATTTTATCTTCAACAAGTCTAATTAGATTAATGTAATAATTACTGTCTCTAGAAAGTATTGGTCTACTTACTAATTTGTTTTACTTACTTATTAATTACTTTCTAAATCCCAAATCAACCTCAACCACTTGAACAATACAAGGAGAGACAAGAAACTGCACTTCTAATGCTTTCAAATAAACAATATTCAATTGCATGAATTAATCTTAAATTGACCAAAGTGTGTAACTAGAGGGAGAAAGTTCAAATCAAATATACCTTTTAAAATTTGATATTAAATCCACTATTTTTTTATAATCTTTAATTTAATTACAGTATTTATATGACTTAAGTAACTTAATTCATTACACCCAACACTGTATAAAAGTAATTAAAATGTAAACTTACGCATTGACTCGAGCAGCTATTTTCACCCAAGCTAACTCTCTCTCCTTCGCCGCTGCAGCCGTGTTGCTTTTTTTTTTAAATACATGTTCAAATTCTGCATATGCTTGCATAAGCACATCCAGTTCTGCTGGTGAGAAATATGCACACCTTTTTTTGTCTGACGCTGTTGCCATGGTGACTCGTAATATCTGTGCTCCATTGATAATGGCTTTTTATAGTTGTGGTGCACGCGCTTAACTCAGAGTCAGTCAATTTAGAGTTGATTGAACTAACTAATTTCAGCAGTTCTGAAACCCAAAACTCAGAGTTTCCAATCTCAGGATAAGTCAACTCAGAGTTCAAGTTTTAACTCAGAGTTGGTTGAACTTCCTTATTGAAACAGGCCCCAGTTCTTGCTTGGCCTGCATTTAGACTAGTTTGTGATGAAGATTTGGGGGAAATTGTTATATTGTGTATGTGCAAAAAGTTTTAAATCTTTGAGATCATCTAATAAAATATGGGAGCTACACCAAAAGAGTTGCATTTATATTTTTGTTGCATGTATGTCACATTGTTAATCAGACAAGAACTTTACCATGTTTTATTCTTGCTTTTTTAAGGTCTCTTTTAATGACATTTCAAAAGTCTTTTCTTCATTTTTTTAGTTTAGGCGTATTACTCATCTCTAGGTTTACTAAATTTTGTTTATATATCAATAAGTCCAAATATGTCATAAAAACACTCCAGCTGTTTGGGCTTTTACATAAACGCCAAAGCACAGGAATTTTAAACAGGCAAATATTTTGAAAGTTTAAGTAAAATCTTTCTTGTGGGGATTTAACATTGCCTGACGATTAGCAAATGGGATTTTTTTTACTAAATTAAAACAATTATCAACTGTATCCTTATGAAACCTTGATTAAAATATCTCAAACTATCCCTTTAATAGAGGAATGATTATTATATTTACAGGAATGATTTAAGATAAAACATATTTCAGCTTCTAATTTGGAATTCAGTTCAGCTATGAAAACAATAAATGTTGCTTTACAAATTGGATCTGTAAAGTTGTTTTTTTCCCCCGAAACTGGTATTAAATGACAAATGGGAGAAAAATCTTTAGGGAATGGGTGAATTACAATTAAAATGTTTTTTTCGCCTCTAGATAAGAAATTCATTGAAAAGTTAAGCATGGATTATTTTACTCCACAAGAAAATTGTAAATATAAACAGAAAATGCTGTAATTTTGAAATGGGATCTGGTTTACTACCAGCTAAGTAAGACACAGAGGAAACGTTGGTATTTATTTCCAACAACAAATACCCCCTCAGCTGTCTCCCAGGAGCTCCGTACAAGGAAATAACAGAGGAGGTGGGCCTCTATATATAGGGAGAAACTTTATCTGGCCATGCTGCCCTTCTGGGACCTTTTACACATAGTAATGAATTACTGAAGATCAGATTCTATTGGGAGATGATGTGAATTCCAGTAACTTTTTTCACAAACCCCTCTTACCGAGTTGCTAGAGGTCAGGCCGTCGGCCCCCTCGTGCTGGGGGCCCTGATAGACTCTAAGCTGGGGGGGCTCAGGATAGTCGGAGCTGTGATGCGTGGAGCTGAAATCAAGCGTGGGCAGCCTGCTGGTAGACGCCGGTGGGCCTTGGTTTGGTGGAGGGTATGAGGGGGGTGGAGCGTAGACCTGGGGGAGGGTGGGGTCAGCGCTGGCGGCGCCGGCCTCCTGGGCAGGCCCCCCCTGCAGACAGAAGAGGAAGGAGGGGGAACATGTAAACAAATAAACAACAACATACTCCTCTTTTTCCTTTGGATGCATTTAACTGTTATGATAAAAGATTTAACGCAGAACAGAGAAAATGTCTTATGAGAATAATAAGGAGGCATTGCAACACATTAATTTAGCATTATTCTGGTCTCTTCCAACATTGGGATATAATTGTAAACAATAAAATCCTTTTACTGTTTTTAAATAAAAGTTACATTTATCTTTACCTTCAGTTTTTATTCATTTCTATTTTCCTTTTTGCATTTTGTGTCTTACTTTTTAAATGCACTTTGTTTTCAGTTGTTGACATACTGTATAGTGTTCAGGGGATGAAATAAAGACAAATAAAAAAATTCAGTAATATTGAACTCTTTTTTTCAAATGGAGCTGTATTTAATCCTAATCCAATGCATTATAACCAGCATAACCAGCATCAATAGTGATCAGTTGTCTCAAATCCCAGATCTAACTCCATGTTTCTCATTGGTCTGCCTTGTTTGTACACCTCCACCCAAAGGTTAAAAGAAGAATCTAAACAGTGATTTGACAGAATCATCGTTAAGATTAATTGGTAAAAATAAATAAAAATTAATCTTTCAAAATCTCAAACTTACAAAAAAATGAAAAAATCACCCCAAATCAAATGAAATCCTGCATTTAAAGATGAAAAGAATTGTCTTACCCCCCTTTGATGATCCTCTCTTTGACGCATTGTACAACAACTGCCGCGTGTTTTAATGCCAGCAGACCACCCGCCCACCCCACCATGAGTCCCACCCATCATCCAATCACTGTCTCAGCTCCAGAACAGAGGAGCCACACCAGCTGCAGACATCTGCATCTGTCAGTCATCCTCTCACCCTTCAGCTGCGTCACTTTAAACTAAATGTCCCAATTATCATTAAAGAACATCAAACTATTTTTCTGCAGCTACTATTTATGTCACTTTGCATTTACAATTTAAATAAAATAAAGGCTGGAAGTGTACAGATCCAGCATGTTAATGGGTTGTTACTATTTTTACAGATTGTAATGATGCTTTGAAATGTCAACCAATTTTCATCAAAATCAAATGGCTGAAAGGCTGAAATCAGCAGCCATCAAAGTTTGGCAGGGATAATCTTAGAGCCGCTCGACACACTCAAAAATGAAACTTTTAGTTTTATTACATACTATTCAATTACTGTTTTTTTTTTTTTTTTACAGGCAGATATCTTGGTAAAAACTAAAATTAGGCATTACACTTAATACCTGTTTCTTCTTTTATCAGAACCCTGGGGGATCTCATAACTGCACACATTTTAATGCATACTATAGATTTATAATGTTAATATACGTTTATTTTAACTTAGAATACTGTTAAATTTGATTTATTTGGGTTTCAGTACAGATACATTAAAATGCCTTTAGCCAATTTGAAATAAATGTAACATTTAAAGAAAATGGTAAGCTTACTTCTTAAATGCACAAAGACTAATATTCACTCTTTCATTGTCATCGTTACAACCCGATGCTTCAAGTTTAATTTTTTTTTGTTTGTTTGTTTGTTTTAAGCTTCAATACTCCAGTTATAACCTGCGTTCCTCTTCCAGTTTCCACCAAATCTGTCATGAAAAACTGTTAGTGGTAGTGATGTTATCAACAGGAAGAGGGGCCCCAAGTTCAGTTGCTGGGAAATACATTTTTTTTATTGTATTATTACGTATCAGTAGGTCTCCATTTTGAGATTAGGAATCCAGATTATATTTACACTGCAAAAATAATCTAGAAATGAGTTACAATTTCTTAAATGATGTGTATTTATCCCTATTTGATAAATGATTTGTAAACGGAATGAGTTTTATACTCTTAAAATTAGATAATATGCACTTGAAATAATACAATGCAATTGTTTTTTAGTTTTTATTTTGAGTGAAATGTTCTTGTTCAATTGGCAAAGTGCCTCACTTACCTCCTCAATTAAATAAAAAAAATTACCTATTTTAAGAAAAACAAATGACTTATTTAGATTTCAATTTATTGCATTGTATTTCATACAGTTTCCAAGTTAAATTACTTTAAATGTGTAATTGTTATGTAATAATGCATTCTCTTCCATCTTATACATTAAATACTCTGTGTTCGACTGGTTTAATATGATAAAAACGATCAGAAAGAAGTTTATACCACTCACTTTCACTGCATTTTATATGAATGGTTGAATTCTTGATGCATCTTCATCCAGAGTACAAATAGCATAAGTGCAGGTAGTCTGATCACTGAGCCTAACAGAGAACAAGTTTCACCATGGTTTTCTTTCAGAATAAGTTAAAGACATCACAAGTTATTAAGATATATTAATTAAGATTTTTTACCATTATACATACATAAAAATTGTAGAACTTTAAATTTACAGTCATATGTTTATATTACTGTTTTATATATTTATTTATTTATTTATTACTATTTATCACGGCTGCACTTTTAAAAAAGATGAAATTGTCCAGAGAGCTGTTCCAAACGAAATTTCTTTTTGTTTTACACTTGTCTAAATCAAAGCCTAAGTTGTTTGTAAATTGTAGTAACGGCTTCTAAAAGGGATCTTTTTGGAGAATTTTTTAAAATGTAGATGTCATGGCAGGTAAAATTTAAGCCAGACTTATTTCAACCTCCTCAGGGTTAGTTTAGAAGGTTTTTGGTTCACGATGCATCCAACTGACAGCACAGAATGGGGTAATTTTGTGCACAACAAACAGGTTCAAATTAGAACGTTTGCTGTTTCAAGTCCAAAGATAAAACAGAGCTGCTAAAAAAAAACGAAAAAAGTGCAAATGCAGTTTAAATCAGAGCTGTATGCCTTTCTGTTTATGACGACCTTCATGTCTAACAGACCAGTTCTGCAGACTTGTTTAGCCTTTTTCACACTTGGACACCTGGCCTCACTGCTGTTTTTTGGATCATTTTCCTGGTGCTTAACCAAACTTTTCCCTGATCTTAAGCTCACAAACCAATGAGACACAACAAGAGAAATCTGTAGGATCAAGATCAGTAAAAATCTTTATCTTTTTAGTTGCCAACTCTGCATTATCATCTATTACGACTTTGTGAAAGAAAAGAAAGGAAGTAAACATTTAGCTAAATTATACATCATTTTGTGAAATAAGTGAAAAAGCCATATTTACATGCAGCCCTCTTTAAACCTAATACTCTCTCTGTGCTCTGAAACAGCTCAACGTTAACTTTTTATCTTGAAAAGCAGCCATCATGTGGCTGCTTCACATGTCTTCACAGATATAAAGCAAACAGTCTGTTATATATCACTGTCAGCCACGCTCTCTCCTTTTTTTTTTTTTTTACTCCCAGCCTGATTCAGCATCACACAGTCAGCAGATGCAGACACGCAGGTCTTTTTTTTAAATCCCCATTTGTTTGCTTTTTCTCTCCTCTCCTTCTTCAGCTGTCGCTGGGCCATCAGAGGCCGACAGCTCGGAGCCAGGTGCCCAAGGTGGCAGCTGTTGCAGGATTTACTCAACAAGGCCGCTCTGACTGCAGATGTTGACGTTTCAGCAACGAGTCTCACAGCAACACGTAGCTTTTTAAGAGAAACTGAGCTTTCTGCTCCCTCCATGTAAGGCTGTCTCTGTCTTTTTAGATTAAAATGCTGGCAAATGGGTTATAAAAAAGAGTTGGGGAGGAAAGGGAGAAGACAGATGAAGGCATGTTTCAATTTTCCCTGGGTGGACTTAAAATCACAGCTGCTGCAACTTGAGAATCAGTGGATTTTATGCTACAATTAAGCTGTACTTAAAAGTATGTAAAAATCACTCTAAGATACTTTAAGCAGAAATATTTTACTGTATAGGCATTTATACCCACAATTTGTGGCTTTACTTTTTTTTCCATTTATTAAATATTACATGAAATGTGACTTTTGATTCTTGCTGCTAAACTGAACACATGGAAATGCTTCATCAGGCAAGTTTTACTGCTGCTTTCAGTAAAGCTGAGTGCATAACACAAGGCAGGCGACAGAACTTCTTCTGATTATCAGATCAGGAGAAGAGGACTAAAAATACTGCTGGTGAGCAGCTCAGTGACAAGGTGGAGAGATACCAGCAGCATTGTGGCATTAGTGGTATTTCAGGGACACTTGCTGCTGTTGCACTCAGAGACTAAAGATAACTTATCCTTTCTGATTTTTTTCTGATCTGACTCTGTTACATCTTAGCCTTAAAATGTATTTGGTTTGGAGCCTGTTTTTTTGTACATATTACTTTAATTTTTAATTTTAATATCCCAAAAATCCAGTCAGTGTATATTTCAAATAAACCAGATGTAAAAACAAAGCATAAAAAAAGCATTTCAAATTTCCATAAAGGCATTGGTTTGTTTAACTAATGCTGGTAGTGAAAAGTTTTTTTAACTAATTTATTCTTTAACTGAAGGAGTAAAGGTTCTTCTGGATGCCTGCAACATATTTACTTTAGACCAAATAATACTTTTCAACCTACCAATGCTCAATAATGACATTATCAAATATCAATATACAATATGCATTAATATATATATATATATATATATATATATATATATATATATATATATATATATATATATATATATTTTACACATTAAAATACATTTACAAGAATTACAGTTAAAGGGAAATGTTCTTTTATGTTTAAGATAAAAAAAAAACACTTGCTTCTGGTGAAAAAAAATCAGATTACCAAAATATTCTCAGATTATTGGTGTGTCTTTAACTTGTTAAATGGTTAATTCAACAATCAAAGAAAAAATCGCACCTTTGAGTTTGCTGACCAGGGTGCAAATAAATTTAAGCTGGACATCAATTAGGGAAAAAAATATTAGAAATTGGTAATTACTGTATATGTCAAAGGAAAAACAATACAGTCAAAAAAAAAAAGGTCTTTTTCTTTTGTCGTTGTCAATTGAAGATGAGATTAATATAATATTTGCCCTACTTTTTTATATTAAGGGGATCAAAAATAATGTAATGTAAAGGGTAGCAACTTTTTGTAAACTTTGAATCAATAAAGAGGTGGTAAAGCAGTTTTACCAGGTGGGACCAGTTGCTTTTAATGGGAATAAAACAAAGAACGAAACAAAAAGATCAAAGCAACAAGAACATATCAGACCCCTGATATGACTGAAGCTAACATGCAAAAGTTTTCCTTTATGAGGGATTTTTAAAGTAAAACTGTAAAGGTCAATATTGACAGAAAATGACATGGACTTTACAAAAGAAACAGCGCCACCTACTATCTATGCTAGCCGCACATTTAAAGCTACAGTGTGTAATTTTCAGCGACATCTAGCGGTCAGACTGCAGACTGCAGCAACATGAACGTCTCCCCCCCACCGCTTCTCCCCCCCAACAGTACGGCGAGCGTTACGGGACAAAATGTCTTCCACGACGTCCGCATCACCTACCTTCTCAAGTGATGAGGTTTGTTTACATAGATAATTTTACAGATAGTATTTCATTAGTCTGTGTAGGGTATAGATTTCATGTAGACTTAAGATAATAAATATACCCGTTATTTTTTCTACGTCGTTGTGACGTTTTGGTGAGCTGCTTTGCATGGTGATATAAACAGACGAAGTAATTGTAGTCATTAGTTTAACAGCGAGATTGTGTTCGCTGGAAGAATATATATTCCCCGTTTACAGAGTCCAAGTCTTGTTTGTGGCACGGGGGTTACAAGGCGAGGAAGAGGGAAAGGAAGAGGGCAGAGAGGCCGGGGTGAGCGTGCAGCTGGGGCCAGGCGAGAGAGGGGAGCCAGCGGGGTGAGAGCAGAGGAAGAAAGGCTTGAAGATCTCCAAAGGAGCCGGAGAGAAGTAACCGAGGTATATATCCAGAAAATTATTTTACTGAAAATTACTGAATCATTTCCTGTGAAACGTCAGGGACGTTGCTGAATAAGTATACTGGAGAGTAACAGCATCATCACGCAGCATGTTATTGTTTTAGACAGGTCTGAGCATCCTGTACTCCAAAAACGGCAGTGATATTAGACAATAGTGTGTGTAGGATTAATTACCTGTCCAAGAGAAAACTGGCAACTTGAGCGTCACTTTGAAAACCTTTTTCCTCCATCAGTGACTTACATCGTGTAAATGCCGTGCCAATGTTGATCCGTGTTTTTTGTCGTTTCTTGTCACTCTTGCGTTTATTCTCGTCGTGTTTCCGCTTCTTAGATGACGGGGGTTCGGTGTCCGCCGCTTTTCGTTGTGATACAGAGTAGACATGATCCTCCATTCGTCTGATGTTTGGCCACACAGTGCCAAACAGTTTGCAAAGTCACTCACGCCTGCCGCCTTGTTTACCTTTCTTGTTACCGAGGCGCAGTATACCTGCTTCTTCTTCTTCTTCTTTGGTTTCAGGCAGACTAAACGCTTCTCAGGCATAATACTGCCATCTACTGTTCAGTACCGTCTCAGTTCATCTCTCTCAACTTGCCGTAGTTATTTTCGAGCGTCATGGGAGATCTCGCAATCGCTAGTTTGTTGCCTCTGCGCTGCCGTAGCGCAAAGATGTCAGCCTCCATGGCTGCGAGACCCGCTCCTATGTAATTATAAATAACGAATTCTAAGGCAACGCAAATGTTATGGTTAAAAGGCTGAGCTCATAGGTGATGATAAATAACATAGTTATGTATAATATATTAAATTTCTGAATTTATATGCCTGTAATTATTACACACTGTAGCTTTAAGTGTCAGGATTTAATTTTTCTTCTCCAGATGTTTTCTTTTTGTTGCTTTAAAAAATATAAAGAATGTAAAATCGGGTTAACATTTCCATTTTAAAAAGTTGCTCATGTTGTTTAACATTTTTTATTTTTTATAAAAAAAATATAGGGCCAATTAATTTAGATTCTTACTTGACAAAACTTTTTTCTGAATCCAACTACTAGAACATGCATGAATCAGGATTGCTTCTTGTTAACTCAGAATATTACCTATAATATTATACATTATGATGGATCATCAGGTCAAACAAAAGCAAACACTGTTAAACTGCAGATCAAATAAAGCATTTACCTGAACTATGCTGGGGTAGCATGTGGTTGTCTGTGGGTAGACTGGAAGTCCATAAGGCTGGAGGATCACAGTGGGTGAGGAAAGCATAGCCCGGGTGATGGAGGGGGAAAGGAAGGCAGGGGGAAAGCTTTTTATGCAAACTGAAATTCAGGCAATCAAGCTGGAAATAAAGAAAAAAATCCACACACAAAAAAAAAAAGAAGTAACAGAAGATCCTGGTGGATAAAGGGAAAAGGGGTCAAAGCTGTGTTTCACCTTACAGGTGACTGCAAAAAAAAAAAAACTCAAAGGAAATCCTTAGAAGAACAATATTTCTGTGAGGAATAGAGTGACTGTAGAGCGTTGAAAGAGAAAACAAGTGTGCTGTGTCCATCGGTTGATCACACAGGATGACAGACAGAAACACATGCTGGGGGTCTCCTTTCAGAGTTATATAAATAGCGATGTCCTTCTGCTTCACTTTTATCGCCTTATTTTATACACACTTATACACCATTTAATGCAAGTTCAGGTAATGCTTGCGCGATTATAAAATGCTTCGTTTAATTTCTGATTACAGGGGGGAAAAAATCAAAGTGTATGATTTACTTATTTAGGTCTTGTTCCGTTTAACATAAAGAACAGATTAAACAAATAATAATAATTACAAAAACAAAAGAAAACAAACGCATTAGGTGGGGTAAAAGAACACGTTTAATGTTCTGAGATAATTTGTATTTTAACCAATAGGGGGCAACACAAAATACAGTTAGCTTCCGTTTTGACAGCGAGAGGCATGATGGGAGATGTAGTGTGATTGTCTACCATATAAAACAATATGAACTCCATTCGTCTTCCTCTTTACTAAGCGAGCCTGGGCGAGGTAAGTCCGTCCTGGTTTATTAAGGTTGACATCCACACATTTTAGACTTCCGTCCGAAGTTTACTTGGTATTTAATAGTGGATAAAGTAAACTAAAACATATATCTTATATTTCTTAGCTCTTTGATGGCATTTGAGAAATGTATCCTCGTGGAAGCTAACGCTAGTTCTTCTCCCCAAACAACGTGGTGCGCTTCGGAAGCGGCCTGGTCTGGATGGCGAAGCCATGTTTTAGCAAATGTTTAATTTCTCCCAATAAACTCTAACCAATTTTCACATTTTAAAGCATTTAGTCCTATAAATCCGCCGATATTCTTTATAAGCCAGTTAATGCGTGTAGTTAAAGTATGCGGACTTAAATCTCAAAGTACTGGTAATGTCTTCACGAAGCCAGTTACTAATTAAATGTAAATTATATATATTTTAAACTTAATTGAAACATGATTAGGGATTTGTTTTAATAAAATGGCTATTTTGTATTACTTCTACCACTAGATGGAAAGTAGTTTTAATTTGTATCACTGAAATGCCAGTGGTGTTTTTGAGACTATTTTCAACTAATTGAATGATGCATAATTATTCCAAGCACCAATCTGACTAAAGTAATCAAATTTAACTGGGGAATAAAACAACTACAGCTTTTCATAGGCTAAAATATTAAGAATCATACTGTAATTATACTTTGACAAACTTGAGGTTCTCTGAATAAAATCCCATTTATCCATAATGCATGTTCCTTATACTATAAAAGTTAACTATTGATTAGTTTTTGAAATGTATTTTCTGAGCCCCATTTTTTTTAAACTAGTTTGCAAAAGTGCTCCAGCTTCATATCACTGAGACCACTTTTCTCTAAATGAGGCCTGTGTTTAAATGCAGAGATTCGACATTCCTAGTTTTTACAGTTATCCTCTGAAAATGTGTCATTCATGACCATTTGCAACCACATTTACAAAATTACAATTATTTAAAACAGTTGTATGTTGTATTCTATGCATATATGACAATTGCAGTTCCACCTTTCATGGGTTTACAACTTGCAAGTTGGATATCTTGCACTGACAATTGAAACTCACCATTGGCTGAATGTATGCAAAGTTGGAATAAATCAGCTTTTTAGATGAGTAATTCAAGTTTTGATGTTCCATACAAAGCTAGTTGACTTTGACAGAACTTGTTTTGATCAAATCGAATCGTTTGCTGTGGACTAATGTTTCTGTCTTCTCTCTGCAGGCGCTGTAAGCAACCATGCCCGTTGCCAGAAGTTGGGTTTGTCGCAAGACCTATGTTACTCCTCGCCGTCCGTTCGAGAAGTCTCGTCTCGACCAGGAGTTAAAGCTTATTGGTAGGCTTGGTTCAGTCTCACTATAATTAGGTTGAGTTCTCATTTGTTTGTTTTTAACAGTCATTAATTTTCTCTGCAGGCGAGTATGGTCTGAGGAACAAGCGTGAGGTGTGGAGGGTCAAGTTTACCCTGGCTAAGATCCGTAAGGCTGCCAGAGAGCTTCTCACTCTGGACGAGAAGGACCCCAAGCGTCTGTTTGAAGGTATGAGATGCAGCTAACGGTGGTTCCCAACCCTGGTCTCTCAGGACCCATGCATGTTTTAGATAATTCTTTTCCAGTGCACCAGATTCACTTTGGGATAAAGTGCTGCAGAGGCCTGTTAATCATAATATTTTCTAGTGGATTGAATGGGGAAATGCCTAAAACATGCAGGACAGGAGTCCCTGAGGATCACTTCTGGGAACCACTTGCTGAGAAGTAGTTGGAGTTTGGCCGATGATTTAAATATAAATAGTCAGACTTAACTGTGGTGTCAAGAATTCCTCGTCAATGAGGCCATTTTTGGTGCTGTATCAAAATCATTAGCTCTTAGTGCCTCATTTTAAATGTAAGCATTTTTTCCCCGCCAGGTAATGCCTTGCTCAGGCGTCTGGTGAGGATTGGTGTGCTGGATGAGGGTAAGATGAAGCTCGATTATATCCTGGGCCTGAAGGTTGAGGATTTCTTGGAGAGGAGGCTGCAGACTCAGGTCTTCAAGCTCGGACTTGCCAAGAGTATCCACCATGCCCGTGTCCTGATCCGCCAGAGGCACATTCGGTAAGTTTTAGGACAACTGAAAGACTTGATCTAACCACAGCAGGGTCTGAAAAGTTTTTTGAGAAACTTTTGCTGCTTCCTCTTTCATCAGAGGACCCCCATGCTGTAGCACTCTGCGTTGAGAGCACTTAATCATTTCAGCAAGGTCAATTCGGTATCAAAGCCGTATACCTTGTCGGTAGTTATTGCCCAGAGCCAATCCTGCCATCTGTGGGCTCAGGATGCTCCAATATGTGGTGGCGGCTGTGAGGTAAGGTGTGGGGGATTGCACCTCGGGCAATTGTGCTACTCACTGCACCATCAATTATGAGCTACTGAACACTCAGGTTGATGATTTAAGATTTGTATTCAGATTTTCTGTGGTGTCAAGAATTCCTCGTCAATGAAGCCTGATCTACATTTACAGTAGTGTCAATTCTAAAGACTATGGATGAAAATATGGATAGATTAAACAGATGTAGGGGTAAAAATGTTTCAATATAATGAATGTGAAATATATAATTAGATAAAAAAAGAAACTTAAGAATTGGTAAACTGCAGGATTTTATTTTCTGCTTTATTCATACAAATTGAATACATTTATTTTCAGATGGAACAACTTTTGGAAAGGGTATACGAGTAAAATGTGGGAGGCTATTTGTTCCAAAACATGTTAAGTTGATCTATAAAACAGAATTACTGATGCAGATAACTAATGTTTCAAAAACTGACAGATAATTATAATACAATTCTTATTGACAAAAACCGACCCGAGCAGATTTGTGATTTTTATAGACCCTTTTGGTGAGGGTGGTTATATTTTTGATAACTGAATCATTGTTTTGAAAGTTCTCAACTCTTTGTATTGTCTTTGCAGTGTGCGCAAACAGGTGGTGAACATCCCCTCCTTTGTGGTTCGCCTGGACAGCCAGAAGCACATCGACTTCTCCCTGAGGTCACCATACGGCGGTGGACGTCCTGGCCGCGTCAAGAGAAAGAACGCCAAGAAGGGTCAGGGTGGAGCTGGAGGGGCTGACGACGAGGAGGAAGATTAAGAAGGATGTGGTCCAGGAAGTGTTATATGTGCTTCCTGTTCTGTTAAATTCTTAATAAAAAAATGGGTTGAACCAAAGAACTGTGCTATTTGTTTTAATTTCATGTTAACTAAAATTAAATGTGGTCCCTGTTATTTTTTCTTATGTTTTATGAATGAAAGTAGTGTAACTGGACAATTTAAATGGATAAAAACATGATACAAATAAGAACCCTTGGGTAGACTGAGCTCTGGGGGTTTTGTATAAAATGACCCTAGTACTTATTTTATAGTTTTTAAATTCTACAAACAAGAACAGTAGATGCTCTAAAACAAAATCTTGAAACCATTTTTATTTTATATACATTTTTAAATTCTACAAACAAGAACATTAGATGCTCTAAAACAAAAAATCTTAACTATATTGCAAACACCCCTGTAATCAGAATGGTGTAGTCCAGATGTGACGTCTTCTGCTCCATCAAATTAAAAAAGCCTTTCAAATATCCTATTTTAAACCCGGAAGTGATATCTTTCACCGGTGCGGTGTGAGGGGAACATCAAGTTCGGGGTTGGAGCGAAGATAGTGGTGTCCTACCGTTGGTCCACATATCTTCATGAATGTAAGTATCTAATGCTACAGCTCTGCTAACCGCATGTCAAGTCATTCAAAATGCAACTTCTAACCGTTACGCAGCAAAGCTTTGATTATTCACGAACATAAACGGCTAAGTATTTAAAATAACTAAACTTCAGTCTCGGCAGGATGTTTTAACCATTACATAGACTAATATTAACCATGTAGCTGTTTGCTACAGACCCAGAAACCTTTTATCACGCGTTAATTGACCAGCTACAAACTTAAGATAATTAAGGAGTCCTGCATTTGTAGAAGTCACGTATTTGTTTCCAGGAAGACCCTAAATCCGGAAAGTTTAAGCTTCATTCTGGGACCAACTGCTTTAAAATACGTTGATCTGTTGCCACAACAGTTTGCAGAGGGAGCATTCAGGTTGGAACAAGCCCTGAAACCATAGGAGCACATGTTGAAGCTGGCATTCCTTTAAACGGACAGTGTTTGCTTCAGGGTTCATTCAGGTTCTACATTAAAATCCATCATAACTAGGAGAAAAATAAACACAAGATTTACCCACATTAATAAGTAAAGGTACTTTGGCACATCGAGTCTTTTAAAATGGACACATGTTATTGTGAAATGAATGGATGATAGTCATTCATTTTCTACTATAGAAGTGCTGCATAGTGTAATATTGGGGTTTAATAGAGGCTAATTATGCAGCTCCACCTAAAAGCAATCAAATGTAAATCTATGTATATACAGCTGGAATCATGCTTTTTAAATACTGACATTTGTTTACTCAGAAGAACCTCGGGTGTGTTTTACTACAACTTCCAAGGCAGTTTTTCTCCTGGCCTAAAATTTAAGGAATAATTGCAGGTAGTATGAGACAGAGCTGCAAAAATTACATCACTGTTGGACAATGTCATTGTTTTTGAAGAGTTGAAAAAAGCTGAGGATATAAAGCATAAAACGTGTATATTCTACACTTCCTAGAATAAGGTGCATTTACTCAAAACACTATAGTGTATCTGTATACGCTGCGTTTTTGGCCTTAATCATAAGGTACTGGGATCAAACTGTCAAATCAGTGGTGTGTTTGACCTGCTTCTCCTTGTGAGCTGTTAAAGTGTTAAACTGATGTGTTTCCCCATCAGCAGGAAGATGACTGGAGAAGAGCTAGTGTATTTGGGCGTCCTTGCTGCCACCATCCCTGTTGGATTTCTCTTTCGTTACCTCAGTGAGTATTTTGCATAACTTCCCTCAGGGAAAATAAAAATAAATTAAGTTCGAACAACATCAATAGTTTCGTTGTTTTCTTTGGTACTGGTTAGATCTCGTTTGTCAGAGCCTCTTTCTTCCTCATTTGTTGTATTTATTTCCTGAAGGTGTCCATTTTGAGACTGGAAATGATCACAATAGATAAACTGTCACCATTTGCAGTTGTAGGACCTTGTATCTCTGAAGTTAAATGGAGAAATGAAGTAGATGAACTTTAGATACATTTTTGGTATCTTTTTTTCTAATGATCTAACTTTATAAACCTACATTTTAAGTGTCTCATTAAGCCTTCATCTATGCTTTATCACCCTCGTCTGTTTAGCAGTACTCTATTTATATTCCTCCATCCCCTCAGTTCTTCCTTGTCTACTACACATCTGTCAGTCACTAGAATAGATATGCAAAGTACAGCTTTGATATAAAGAATTTACAGAGATAATGTCAGCAGTGGGTTTTTCCTGTTTTTGTAATGTGTGGCCCTTTTATTTACAGTTTTTTTTAATGCCGTCACTTAAATTTAAAGTTCTATTTTTTTCTATCAGTAAAACAGTTTTTTGCCTTTGCTTCAGGTCCGCCTGTGAAGCAGGTGACGGCTCTTCTTCTGGGCCTGTCCATCACCATCGCCCTGTGTCACATCCATACACTGCACTCCCTGGTGACAGTGATAGGAACATGGATCATCATCAAGAGCAGCTGGCGGTGAGTGATCTTTACCATCTTTGCATCTTTAAGATGCAAGAACAGTTTTAAATGATCATGTTTTAGCTGGAGAGTATGGGAAATGCTTTTTCCAGACATTAGAACAAACTTTAATCTGAAAGCATTTTTTGCTTTTTGTTTAATACTGGCCAGCAGCGAATAATGACCAAAAATAACTGGATTTTTTTTTGTAGTTGTAGAATAATCTTACAGTGGTTCACCTCTCTGCAACTGCACTCTATGTTTTCACTTTCTCTACTTTCTCTCCTACAAATATGCTGTCTTTTTCAGTATTCCTAAAACCGCAGATTAGAAATAACATTATGACCACTTTCCTAAAGAGGTGTAAGCCTAATATTTCCTACCAAAGCTCTTGCCTGATATGTAGTGATTTAAGACACCGAATATGAGCAGCAGATAACTCAAGTACCTGCGAGTTAAGGCCTCTATGGATTAGACTTTTTTGCCAATTATTTCCCACAGATTCTTGATTGAATTTAGATCTGGGTTTTTAGAAGCAAAGCTTGCATCTCAAACACATTGTTTTTCTCTGCGGCCCATCCCTGCTCCTTTTTAACATGCTGAGAATACGGTCTTAATAAAAGCTCTTCACGGCCTTAAACACTTAGATTTGACATATGTGTCAAAATAACCTTGGGATTAGAGAACCCAAAGTTTATTGACTTAACATCATACTGGCTGGATCCGAATGTCTGCCATTTTAGAGGAGTGTCTGAACATCTAGTGATTTAAAAAGTGTTGAACTAAAAATTTCCCACAGTGCACCTTGAAATGTAGTGTGCATCCATGGTGTGAAAACCATAGACATGATATAACAGTAGACTCCGCATTGACAGTCGCAGCACAGAAATTACAGGCACCATCTTGGAGAGGTTGACTTGCTACCATAACCTGCAAGTTTAAGCAGAACAGAAGAAGGATGCCTCAGCACTGTGAGGCATATTTTTGTTTGAATCGACAGTGTTGACATCATGGCATGAAGGATGACTTTGTGATATCATCAGAGCTTTGTAAGACATTGCTGAATAAACAGCATATATACACTACATATATGTGTGTATATATATGTATATATATGTATATATATATATAATCCCTTTATTTTCTCACAATGGATAAATTGTCGTTTTACGGTAGCAAACAAATGTGGACCTTAAACAGTGTATAAAAATAACAGAATAAGTGACAGAGTTAAAAACAAGAAATAAAAAAATAAAATGCTGTATTGTAGAGTGAAGGCACAACGTTAAATCCCGGCTTGCATATCCTATCAAACTAGAGATTACCTGCAGGTGGTCATCATTTTATGCCTGGTTTGTAAAAATGGCACTTGTCTCTTCTCATTAGGCTTGCCCCAGCATTGAGCCTCAGCTGGTCTTTTCTCTACCTCCTGTTTTTCCGACTGGTCACGAATTTTGATCTTCCCAAGCCAACACCTTTCGCCAACGCCGTCCAGCTGCTTCTCACACTGAAGGTAGAGAAGCCTTTGAACATATTTGCTCCAGAAGATTCTGTATGATAACACACCGCTTTTTTCCTGACATGTCATTCCCTTGTGTTTCGTTTTGATATTTGTTTTCCTCTTAGATGGTCAGTCTTGCCAATGAGGTACACAGCTTCCACGTTGAGAAAAAGAGAGATGTGAGCTCCTTTGCTAAGTCTCCAGTCATTGGTGGTCTGTCTCAAGAACCTTCCCTCTATGACATTCTGTCCTATAGTTACTGTTATGTCGGTATAATAACCGGTAAGTCAACAGAATTGTCCTCTCTTAATTCACTTCCTTGTGTCTGCTTATATGTTTACCAGCAAAATCCTGAGTTTTGTGTGTGTGCTGATGTTGCAGCCACTGTTCATTCTCTTTTGCATGATTTATAACCAATGTCTCTCTTTGTCTTACTTTCTGCCACTTGTCCAACATTGTGAGTTGATATTGTTTAATATTATTTATCTATATCTTTCCTCGCCCCTCTTGCCTGCTTTTTTTTCCACTACCTTTTTCTCCGCTGTTTTTTTACATTCATTATCCTTCTTGCCCTTCGTATTGATCCCTTTCTTCTCACCGCCGTGTTTTCTCCTCTGTCTCATTGCTCCATCCTCCCAAAGGCCCGTTCTTCCGTTTCCAAACTTACATGGACTGGCTGAAGCAGCCGAGGCCGCTGGCTTTGCCCGGCTGGGAGCCCTGTCTGCATCGAGTGAAGATGGTCCCTGTTTTCGGGGCTCTGTTTTTGGCCGTCAACCACTATTTCCCACTTTCTTATGTACGCACAGATGAGTTCCTGGATGAGAACATTTTCTTCAGGTATTTGTTTTTTTCACTATGATGTACTTCCCAATACATCTGTTGTACATTTGTTATATTACTGAAATAATAAACCTAAACTGGTGAAATTCAACTTGCAAATTACAAATGGAAATTAAAAATGCTCCTGATTTCATTTCTTTTATTGTCCTTGAATTATAATGATTGCATAGCAGTAGTATTTTATAGGTAAATCACACCAACAGAGGAGGATGTAATGAAGCCTGGATAACGTTTGTTTGTGAGAGAGAAATTAATAGCTTCCCTCTTTCCTTTCTCTCTTTCACCAGGTTGTTCTACATGGTGGCAGTGTTCTTTGTGTTCAGAATGCGTTTCTATGCGGCGTGGTGCGGCGCTGAGGCAGGCTGCATCAGTGCCGGCCTCGGCTGCTATCCAGAAAAGGCCCTTTCCAAACCTGGAGGAGGACCTACTGTCGACTACAGGTCATTACCTCGTGTTTCTGTCAGTAATGGCCGAATTATCACTCTGACATTCTTAAACTCTTTCTTGGGTCAAATCCACAAACTTCTATTTATTTCATAAGGATTTAAAATGAGAAACAAACACCAAGCAGTGACAAACAAGTGAAGTGGAAGGAAAAAAATTACACAGTTCTAAATTCTATCTACTGATAAAAATCTAAAAAGAGTGTTGCATGCATATTCTTCACAGCACCATGAATACCAAGAAACAGTGATGAGGTTATTAATGGAGACCTTTAAAACAGGGTTAGGTAGGGCCTGGTTATAAATCAAGATCCATTTATATCAATAAAAGAAATACATTAGATAAAATGTTCTTTAACTCCACTGAACTTCAATCCAGAACCACGTGGTATTCTCTGGGGAATGTTGACAAAAGAAAGGATTCAGCCTCTTAGGTTGGCCTCTCCTGGCCAACCTAAGGTAGGTTGGTGTTAGGGCTGACCTATTTTTAAAGGTTATTTTTTAAAAAGTTTAGTTTAAATTTAGTTTTTTCTCTCCTTCTGAGAGAGAGATGTATGTCAGCCTGATTGGCCTGAGAGCTCTAAGGTAGGTGGGCAGATGCAGACTTGACTGCATGATGAATTTTTAAGGTATTTGTCTATTGGACAGACACAGTAGAAACCATCTCGTCCCATTCTCGCCTCAGCCGTTATAAAAACCGGCCAAAAATAGGACGTCCAATCAGGTTGCTACATTCAGCTTTAAGGCGAAACCAAACTAAAACCAAACTCTGGTAGGCTGGCACCGGTTGTCGCTTTGTCTAATCAGCTTTTAAAATTCAGCTTTTCCTCCATAACCACAGCGGATTTGATAGCAACAGACTAAACCTGTTTGCTACACACTATCAATCTGGCTTGCCAGGTTATTAAAATTCATCATCTGTAGGAAGCCATGCTGGATGTTACACCTTTCCATGTCTGGTGATCTGGTAAGATTAGACCAAAAATAATATTCCTAAGCTTTCAAACATTATTTATGATTCTGTGACTAGACTCTAAAGATCGATGTTGCCCTTCATCCTGTCTGAGTAAATTTAGCTGTTTTGCTAAGAAACACGGACAAATATTGTCCATGTATTAGCAGCTACAAGTTGTTCCACAAAGCTGTTTGAAGGAAGGAAGCTGAACAGAAACCAAACCACATTTTCTGATTTTTATTTGCAAACAAATAAAGCCACATGTATTCTTTTCCTTTTTAATTTACAATTATACACAACTTTATCTATGGAAGCTTTAAGCGCTGTATATTTTCTGCATTGTTTTAAAGATGTGTTTTGTTCTTTCTCTTCATGAACAGTCCTGATCCAACCAAAGAGGAGAGATATGACTTCAGAACCATTCAGAACATTGATTGTTACAACACTGACTTTTGTGTGAAGGTCCGACATGGCATGCGCTACTGGAACATGACTGTTCAGTGGTGGCTTCATCACTATATCTACCCAAACGCCCCCTTTAAGTCCTACGCTCTCAGGTAGGACCCCCCTAGTTTGACACAGTAACACACTACCTGTTTCAAATTAACAAAAAAACGACTTGAATAATTAGAGAAATTTTGAGAAGAAAATTGTTTTCCAGAATTGAAGCATTCAATTGTTGTAATAATTAGTTAAAAAATGAGTCTATTTTTGTGTCTTCCTCAGGGCTGGATGGACCATGCTCATCAGTGCCTACTGGCATGGATTGCATGCAGGTTACTACCTCTCTTTCCTAACCATCCCGCTGTGCATCGCAGCTGAGTCTGCCATGGAGTCAGCTGTCAGAGCCAAGCTGGCTCCCAGTGGGCAGAACATCTTCGATTGGATCCACTGGTTCCTGAAGATGAGGGCCTACGACTACATGTGCATGGGGTTCGTTCTGCTGAAGGCGTCCGACACCATCAACTACTGGACGTCCATCTACTTCACCATGCATGTCATTGCCGTTGGCTGCATAATAGTGGGCAAGGTCTTAAAGGGGGGGAGGAGAGAGGGGAGGAAGGGGGAAAAGGAGCAGACAAGTGAGGGGGGGAAGACTGAAGATGTGAAGGAGAAAAATGGACAGAAAACAGAGTAAAATGAGGACAAAAAAGGACTGGTTTTAGCCTTTTGGAGATCAGAGTGTGTGATCCTTCGAGTTCTGATTCTGCCACTAAACATGATCCAAGATGATTTCTTCTTAGAAAAGTGTATTTTATTTAAAAAAGCAGTTATGAGTGTCATTTGTGAAATCCTGTAAAAAAAAAAAAACTACTAAAGTTGTTTTTGTTTGATTCCCACAAAATTCAGGGAATCTCTGGAGAGAAACTGGGAAAGTGAATGTTGCTTTTTATGTTGTTGGATGTATGTACGGTTGGAGGATCTTATTTTACACAAATAGAGTTGAACATGATGACCAAAAGTTCAGACGTGGCTTTAGGAATATGTCAAATCAAAATGTAGAGGCAGGTTGTTAAAAACGACATTAAAAATAATTTAAATCCTTTTAATATTTTTAAGACACATGCTCTTTAAGAATGGACATATTTTTTGTTAGAAGTAGCACTTAAGAAAACGTCTCCGCTCACATTAGGACTGTATTCCTGTTAAAGTTGTACCTCTATCTTTTTGCATTAAGCAAGTGTTGAATTTCATTTTCTGCTCATTAACCTCTGCAATGCTGTGAATTCAAATAGTTTGTATAGAGGGATTTATTTTACTTCTCTTTGCTGGTAGGATTTTGGATCAAATCACTAACATATTTGCTGTCACCTCTGCAACAGTGTTGTGACCTGCGCACATTATAAAAGACAACTAAAGTTCATTTACTGCCTAAATATCTGCACTGCATTCAGGGTTGGGACCAAACATTTAAAAGGTTTTTTTTAGATAAATGTATGTTACACTGCCAAGTGATTTATAATTTCCAATGGGAGAAGTTAAATAAAAAAACAACAAATGACTGCGATTTAAAACATAAGCGAATGTTTGCTGTTTTCTCCATATTTAACAATATTAATATGGATGTTGCTAACATATGACCTAAGCTGTCTGATCAAACATCTGTTCCTATATGAAGATGACTGCAGGTTGTTAAAGGTTTCCTCTTCAGAAACTTCATATTCATCATCCTCTGTTTACAAGTAGGACCATTTGAATCACAAATTATTTTAAAATAATTTTTGTTTGACAGTAACAGTTTGTGTTTTCAAAGTATCAATGTTACACTGTGGCTGTAAAAAGTTTTTTCCCTGGTCATGTCTTTTTCCTCCTCTGTGTTTTTGTTAAACCAGCTCCTCTGGCTTGGAAACAGCATTAAATATAAATTCTGCCTTTTCTCTCTGGCCTGGTATCTATAGTAGAGTTCAGCTAATAACTACTCATACTTTAATGCATTTCTATTACCTTTTTTTTTTTTGGAACATATCATTTTATGACTCCTCCTTACTGACCATAGTAATGCTTTGCAAAAACATATTTTCTAGTCAAACTCTGACATATAATCCTTGTGACCTAGTTTTTTACTGTTACCTATCAGTATCTCCTGGTTAGTTTTTTGGTTGTTTGATCATCATCCTGGTATAATGGCTGAGACATACAAGGAAGTCCCTGTGTGGTCATTTTAATGATGAGTAAAGTCCACACCAGGGGGAAAACAGGGAAGTGTTTCATCGCTAACCCTTCCCTGTAGAGAGCTGCTCCATTTATTTGTTTTCCACTGAAGTTGCTACCGAGTGGAATTAGAAGAATGGCCAATCAGTGGCAAAGACAAGCCTCAGGTAAGGAAAAGAGACAAAATACCAGTGTTTATTTTGAACCTCAAATTGTTTATAAAAAAAAAAAAATGAGTGAAAGTCTGGTTTATACAGTTTTATATATGGAAAACCTTGTTTGAATGTATCCAAGCTCTCGGAGGAAATGGTTACTTTACTGACCAGGCGTCACTCAGAATGCGTCGGCTTTCCTCTCGAATGTCCAGTCAGAACCACCATGAGGATCAAACCGATGGTTCTGAGGCAGCCCTTGAGCTCAGGAGCACCGTTTTTTCCATGGCTATTAAAAAAGCTATAAGGTATGAAAACTTTTTTGTGGTTTGGTAAATATGCCTACAGGTGCCTTATAACAACCACAAATGGGTCAGACCATACTGTGTGTCTTATTGTGGTCTAGAAAATGTAATTATAGCACTTGAACTGTCCTATATGTTGGTGTTTTAAATCTACAAAGAGTTGAACACAATTGTGAGTTGGTGGAAAAAGCGTACCAAAACTGGTTTATTTATGCAGTCATGATGATTAAGCCACCTGTCTCTACAATTAAAGCTGTGAGTCTTTTCATGTGACTCTAAGCACTACAAACATTTTACTGACCCAGTGTAAATTCGATGAGGCTCAGACTTGATAGAAAGTGGTGTAGTATGAGTTTTTGAGACTTGCTACATATTGTTAACTGGGTTTCAATCTTTGACGAGGGCTTTTTAACACACACTTTGTATATTTGGAGTTGTCCTACTGAAAATGCAGCCTCGACCCTGAACTCTTTGTAGCCTCTAAATGGTTTAGATTGATTGCCTTTTATACATCTTCATCCATCTTCCAATCTCTAAACTGCTTTGCTCACACCTGGCTGAAGACATTAATTCCCACAGCATGATACAACAACCATCATGTTTCACCATGAGTTAAGAGCGTTGTGGTGTGTTAGTTGTTCTCCCAGCCAAGCTTTTTGCATGCAGACCTAACACCTTAAATTTATGGACTCATATAATAAGCACCTTTTTCCACATGTTTCACTGTATCCTTTTACATGACTTTCTACTTTCAGCCCTTCGATAATGGCCAGATTTGTAGAGAGTGCTGCCAAGGTAGATTCCTTCAGCCGAGTTATGAATCTGTAGCTCTTCCAGTGCTACCATGGGTCCTTTGGCTGTTACTCTGATTAACGCACTCAGTGCCATACCAGTTACTTCAGATACTATGTCTGGGGAAGTTAGCAGTTGTGCAATAATCTAGGTTTAGAAAGAATTTCCTTCCCACTTTACAACTAAAAACTAACTAAGTCTTTATATCTCAGTTAAAATTCTGGTAAAATATACAGCAGGCTTTGGTTGAACTGAAATAAAATGTGGAAAAAGCTCAAAGGTTTTAAATACTTGAGTTATTCTAAGAAGGCCTACAAGAGGGGAAAAACTGCTCTTTGTTAAAACACTGCACCTTAACGTGATGAGCTGCAACAAATAAAGACAAATTACCCACTCAGGGAAAGAACCGTTGGTCTATCAAATTATTAGTATTTTTTTACTTAAACAAACAAACAAAAATTGTACAAGTACAACCAGATATTTATTACATTGTGAATGGTAATTACACATGTTACTTCAAGCCTGTTAGGAGTATTATGTCCCTTAAAATGCTATGTCTTAAAGAGAGAGAAAGTGGCTAAGATTAGGTGGTACTTTGAGTTTTTTTGCTATATTTTTGCGTAGTGATATTTGAGCAGATAGAATATATTCAGAATTAGAACTGCACTCTGAGAGGGCAGACCTCGGCCAAGCCAGCATACTTTGTCCCATATTGTGATTTACACCTATAGCTAAAACTTGCACATAATATGGATCATTACCAATTTGAATGTATTGTTCCTTTGGTGACAATTTCCTTAAAATCCATCTTAAGTTTATAAATCATTGATTGATTGATTGATAGACTTTATTGATCTCACAGTAGAGAAATGTGACAGCTGAAGTCTTTTTTTTTTTTTTTTTCCATAAGGCAGGGGTAATACACAGGGTATTTATGTAGATGGGTATTATCTATATAGGTATTGCACTGGGTATCAAATATAAAGAAACAGGTTATTGCACAGGGTATTAAATAGAAATTGCCCATTATACATTGCACAAGTTATTGCCATTGTAGTGTGGGATTTTATAGTCTGGTTGCAGCAGGGATGAATGACCTGCAGTAGCGCTCCTTTTTACAAATAGGGTGTAAAAGTCTTTCACAAAAGGAGCTGCTATGCTCCTCTACAGCCTGGTGCAGAGGGTGAGAAATAAGGCAAAGTGTGTGTCTGCAGCCTCTGGTGTTTATTCTGCTCTCACTTTCTTCATTCACTCTGCACCCTGCTGTCTCCTTTTATCAGCAGATTGTAACTTTGAGTGAGGCATGGCTCACCTTTCCAGTGTTTTTGTCTTTCTTATAATACTTCTGGATGTTTTCAAGTCCAATACTGAGGCTGTCAATACTCACTGCTGCCACTCTCTGGTTTAGGGGGGAACTGCTTAGGGGATCCGCCAAATAATGTTAAAGAATCCTTAAAAAAAATCCTTTAAAAATCCTGCATCCTGATAATTATGTGGATCATCAACAAAATGAAATGGATTGTTCCTTGGACTTTGGTAAAAATTTCATTAAAATCCGTTCATAGCCTTTCAAGTTATCCTGCACACAGAAGGACAGACAAACAAACAAACACTACAAATTCTCTATTGCAAAGATTTGAAATAGTTAAAAAATGAAACTGATGTGGTGTCGATTTTCTATGGAAGTAAAACGGTAGTTTTCTATCACTTACAGGCTAGCACAACAAAAGCAGACCCCTGCTCAGCTAAACGGGGGATCCTGGAAACAGAAAAGGGCCATATATGTGCGTAAATTGAGAAGCAGCGGCAGAGAGTTTCTTTACTTTTTCTCACTTTGGGGTAAATCCTTGCAGAAGATTGGAGGTAAGCATATAGTTTACATTTGCAAATGGCTCTAAATTGAAAAAGCATAGGCTGACGTTAAACTTTTACCCTTTAGGGAACTTTGGAGGGGGTGTCCAGTCCTACTTCCTCTTTCTTAAATTCTTGGTGATTCTTAATTTCGTCTCCTTCCTGCTGATTGGTGGATTCGTGCTCATCCCCAGCATTGTGTTCAACTCATTGAGAGAGCCGCCCAAACTGGAAAGCAGAACAGGTGATGTTACCTTTTATTTCCCTTTATTTCTTACACACAGGTTTCATCTTCACATTATCTTTTTAAATATTAGTGTTATTCAGAGGTGGGTAGCAAATAGATGTTACTTGAGAAAGTTTTTGACCAAAAAAAAAAACTTTTAGGAGTTGCCTTAAAGGTACACTATGCAACCGGTGTTGATTTTCCAGCGAGGCTCCCCCCAGAGGGCGAAAGTAAAAGTGCACTGTCGTAAATACTTACTTGTACTAATTTCCTGGATGGTAACTTTTTAACTTGAAAAATGATGAAGCAGAGTTAGCCGACTCTTACTTGGGTACAATATTTGCCTACTCTAACCACTTCTAATCGTATTTCCATTTTTTTCATCTTGATAAGCTTCTTTTAATAAAACAAAGACAGGCAGCAGACAAGGGTAGAGAGATAATTTACCAAATATCAGAGGTGTCAAGTAACAAAGTGCAAATACTTGGTTACCTTACCTAAGTAGACATCTTGGCTATCTATACTTACTGAAGTAAATTCGTTTTTAGACACTTTTTTACTTCTACTTACATTTTTTTAATATTGGTAAAAATGTGCCCTATGCCCTAACCAGTAGGTTAAGGCATATGTCCTTCGAATCCTGAGGTTGTGAGTTCAAAACCCACTCCCACTCTCTGATCATGACCCTTACCCCCTGATTATTCCCTGGGCACTACACAGTGGCAGCCCACTGCTCCCCAAAGGGGATGGGTTAAATGCAGAGAGTTACTTTCTCCATTGTGAGATCAATAAAATTAAATTTATTTATTATATTATTTGCTTTCTACTTTTTTTCTACATTCTACTTCTTACATTCTAAAAACACACTCTTTAGTTTTGTTCCATTTAAGCTCATTTTCGTTATGGTCAACTGGTTTACAAAATAAAAAACATAAAAATAAAGGCTTTTATCCAGACAATTAATTTCTTTTTGGTTGGGCTCTGTGCCGCACCAACTTGTTTTTTGCCACATACCAAAAGAAATAGTTTTTCAAGATGATGCAAAGTTAAATTTGTCACTGTTGATTAAACTAAGAAAATTAAGTATAAGGAAGTTATCGTCCAGAATTGCAGAACATTTTTCCTTTAATTTGGTAGTGTAGTAAAGCATCTGTCCTTTACCTTTTTTCCTGCATTACTTTTACTTTTATACTTTAAGTTGTTTTAAAACTGGTACTTTAACACTTAGTTGAATAAAAAGTTGATGCTCTTAAATTCAACAAAAGTGGTTTTAATCAGTTAGATTTATACTTATACTACTTGAGTAATATACATAAATGCTTTTGATACCTCTGCCAAATATATATCTAGTAAACCTGGTTAATAACCTAATGTCCTTTTTAATTTCCTTTAACATCTC